AAGTCCAACACAGTTGGAGAGCCTTAGGGATAACCTGAGATATATTTAATCTGATATTTGAACAAAGCTATAGCTAACATTGGTCCTTCACCAATGTAATTTATTTATTTATCATGTCAGAAGTGAGTTGAGGGTACAGTTTAAATACAGTTATAATGTATTTTAAAACACAAAGTTTTTTTAAAAAAACATGGCTTTGTGCTAAATGTCCTGGCCACTTGGAGTGCCTCTGGTGTTGCTGTGACAAGGCCCTCCATTGTGCATGTGGCAGGTCTCAGGCTGCATTGTAGTAGGTGGTCTCCTCTTCTCCACAATCGCATAGATCTGTAGAAACATGTGATCTCATGGGGAAAAGATGGAGATTATGATATTCTTCTTCCTTCCAGTCCTTAGGTTGCTCATATTATTAGACACATTTACATGCCAATAGAAAACAGAAATGGGAAGGCTATGTATGTATACTTCAATAGTTCTAATATAATATCCTGTTTCCTAATTATGTGGAACTCTTAATTTGTTCTACAAAACACCACAAATTTCTCTTTTATCCACATTATGATCCTGGAGTATAACAGCAACATCAGCATCCTTGCATTTCAAATCATGGTTGAGCAATTAGACCTTTTTATCTTCCTTCCCTCCAGTCAGGAAAAACAATACAGAGCACCATGAGCCATGGATAAGCATTTATTGAGCACTATGTTTTCTTCCTTATTGTTTCTGCAGTTAGGCTTTAACTAGGACTGATTCAATATTATACTGACATAGTCCTCTAATTTGAGAGGTGAAACACAATCCATATATTATAAAAATGATTACATTACTGAATGTTTTAGGAGAATACTGTTACATTGTAGGAGAGATGCCATAGTTTAATAACACACATATACTGTATGATACATGTTCTTGGAAAGACTTCCTAGAGAGCAGCTGCCCACCAGGGTGGACAACATCATGGACCTTAAATGATCAGTGGTGTGAGTCTGTGTATTATATTCTGCTGAAAATGGTTACAGGAAGTCTATCACAAATTGTCCTTTGCAAATCCTAGCTGAGCATGAAATGACTCTGAGCTTTCATACTGGGGCCCAAACAGTTATAGCATTTATGATTCCACTTTAAATTTTATGACAGCACATATGGACATCCATGAGGGCTACTGAGAATTCTCAACCAGAACATCTTGTACCTCACCAAACTAAAAGCATTCAGATTTCATAGGATGAATCCATGGCAGTTTAAATGGGATCATGGTGTTATAACTGTGTGGTATGAAAGGGCCCATAATCAGAAACACTTACATGGCACTGAGCTGGTGTAACAGAACAGACTGTAATGAGATGTAGTAGGCAATTTCTCCCCAAGTCCATCCCATTAATTGATCTCCTTCAACTCAAAATCCCTGTTGTGTAGTTTAGTAAAAAAAAAAAATGCATGAAGTACAAAATTAATATTTATCATGTTTGGTTGCTGAAGATTTCTGTTTTATGTCATTCTCGCTTGGGTACCCGGCATTGCCTGGGCTATTTGAAAAAGTCAAGTTTTAATTGTACAAATTCATAAGATTGTGGGTGAACTACACTTCACATCACGTCAGGTTAACCCTGAAAAACTCCCATCAGTACTTAAAGTTTGTTATGTTGGGCAAGTTTGCTCTAGATGCATCATCAGTGGGGTTCAGTGTGCTCTCTGGCTCTAGGGTAAATTACAGTTCCCACTTTGGTGAGTCAGTCCCCTCAAACCCCTCCAGTAGGTTGAGTTAGTCATGAGAGCTTTGTGTGCCAAGTTTGGTCCAGGTCCATCATCAATGGAGATCACCCAGAAAGGAAGGTCAGTTTCCCCCAAACCCCTCCAGTAATCAGATTTCAGCCTATCAGGTATGTGTGCAAAGTTTGGTCCGGTTCACAATGTTTGGGTTCACAATATTATCTGGATGTAGGTGAACTACAATTCCTCCAAATCAAGGTGAATTTTCCCCCAAAGACCTGCAGTATTTTTTGCTGGTCACGGGGGGCTATGTGTGCCAAGTTTGGTCCAATTCATTCTTTGGTGGAATTCAGAGTCCTCATTGATTGCAGGTGAACTACTTACAACTCCAAAATGTCCAGGCCAATTCCCCTCAAAACCCACTAGTATTAAAATTTGGGCATATCGGGTATGCATGCCAAGTTTGGTCCAGATCCATCATCATATGGGTCCATAGCACACTCTGGATGTAGGTGAACTCCAGCCCCTGTCCCTCCAAAGAGGGATTGTTGGTCATGGGGATTCTGTGTGCCAAGTTAGTTCCAGGACCATCGTTGGTGAAGTTCAGGGTGCTCTCAGATTGCAGGGGAACTATACATCCCAGGACCTACAACTCCTATAATCATGGTGAATTTTCCCCAACCCCCTCCAGTATGTTCAGTTGCTGATCAATTCCTCTCTGTTTGCAGTGTGCCATAGAAAATGAAAGGAAAGGGTTATGGGAGAGGCAATGGGTGGGATCACGTAAATTCCACACCAATGGGGAGAGTCAGAAACATTGGGATGTCTGTGGTGGAATTAAAACAGAAAATCTAGGATGAATTTGTCCCCGTATGGAAGCATTCACTTGGGTGGTGGGCAGTATGGTGTTTGTGGAGGACATTGGCAAGACTCTTGTACATGTTTACGGTGCTCACTATAACCTGCAATGTCACTGGAGGGGAGGGCCTTTGGTATCTCCTGAGTAGTGAGAAGGTGGGAGCTATAGCTGTTTGTGGAGGCAGGAGCTTGTCTGTGTAAGTGGACACTCCAGCCACATACACACATACATATTTTGACTTTTATTGTGTGAATGGATAGATAGATAGATAGATAGATAGATAGATAGATAGATAGATAGATAGATAGATAGATAGATAGATAGATAGATAGATAGATAGATAGATGATAGATAGTTTCATCTATCTATCTATCTATCTATCTATCTATCTATCTATCTATCTATCTATCTATCTATCTCAGATGGAATAGTAAGCTATGAAAGTCTGGCAACCTGACATAGGCTGCTTGTCCTGTAAGGGGATCAGATCTATATATTTCCCAGTACAGCATTACATACAAAAAACATGGGTGAGATTGCAAAACATTTGAAGCTGTGCCACACTCTGCCTTCCAAATGTGTTGCTATGACAAAATAAGCACTGTTTTTGCATCCACATATAGTGTATGTGTTTGAAATGTTGCTTAAGGTCAAACAACACATTATGTGCTACTACACACATCAGAGCCTGAAATTGGTTTTAGAAGAACTGTTTTGAGGAAGATGATTCAAAATAGAGAAAGTAGCAGAGGATAAGAGACTCTTAGCCTTTCTATCAGCTGTCATCTCTGCAAATCATCATCAAAGCAACTTAATCCTACCAGTGACTTACCTAAATTATCATATTCTACGACTCACCAAAGCATCTTTCATCTGCATGAAATTTCAAGTGTATGTTTGCATATATTTTGAACATTTGGAGGGAGGGTGCAAGATGTAACTTGAGGAAGGGGAGAATTGTTCTTTGAAAGGAAGAATGGCTGGGGAAAGAGCCAGTTGCCTCCTTATCTCAAAACTACCCCTCTTTTCAACCAAGGGTAGGAAAAATATTTTAGCCAGAGGACTAAATTCAACTTCAAGTGAGTTCTTGAAAGCCTCCAAGACAAAATTCTGGAATCAAAGATACTAGTATTCTTCAGTTTATGTCTCATACTGCCAGTAACCAAACCTTTGAAGAGGCATTTCAACCTTTTGGAATGAGAACAGCCCTGTCCAAACTACTAACAATAGTTTTAGTGTAGTGGTTTCCAACTTTTGGGCCTCCAGGTGTTTAGGACTTCAGCTTCCAGAAATCCCAGACGGCTTACCAGCTGCTAGGAATTGTGGGAGCTGAAGTCCAAAACACCTGGAGGCCCAGATGTTGGGAACCACTGTTTTAGTGTAAATTGCAGTGTGTTTAGAGACTTTCACTGCCAAATTAAAAAAAGAAGTTAAACTGATTTTTTAAAATCCTGACATTCCTTCCTCCACTTAGCATTTAATTGTTACCATGGTCTCCATATTATGAATCAAAACCATAAAACCAGCAAAAAGAAAATAAACCCTGGAGACTGTCTTCCATCATACTTAAATTGACATAAGAAAGGCATATGCTAAAGAAGTGATTACAGAGCCACACATTGAGGTTGCAGTTCTGAATATACTTACGATGGATCAAATTCATTTGAACATGATGTTACATAAACTGTGTAGGGTTATACCAGGCATGGGCACACTTTGGCCCTCAAGGTGTTTTGGATTTCAACTCACACAATTGCTAACAGCCTCAGGCCCTTTCCTTTTCTTATCCTTTTCTGCTTAAGTGGCTGAGGGGGAAATGGAAGGGGCCTGAGGCTGTTAGGAATTGTGGGAGTTGAAGTCCAAAACACCTGGAGGGCCCAAGTTGGCCCATGCCTCGGTTATACTATAAAGATCTTTCAAATGTCGAGCTTGCGAAGCAGGCTCAAGCTCTGCCTGTTAGTAGAATGTTTGGAATTCTTGGGTGTGTAATCCTGAAGGTCATCAAGCAGGCTTCCAGACTAGGCTTTTTATTATGCAATTGCCCTGCCTCATTCATGGAGTTTGAAAGAGGAGGAGGATCCAGGAGTCGTAATCTTTCACCTGAAACTCCCTTGTGTTTTCCCATTACTTCTGCCCCCCCCCCCCCACCTTCTCTAAGTTGTAAAAGAAGAAAGAGTTTAATAATATCCTTTAATTGATAAGTCCTAGGAGCTGACTGCACCATCGTTTTAATCTGTTGTGTATATGGCAGGGATTTTCTCAGTTGATGGTTTCTAATACCATACTTTGTGACACACTTATATGTATTTTGCTTCATTGTTTTACTGGCTTCTCCTTTCACTGGATTTACCTTTTGTAATAAATGCAAAACAGTTGTTTAGCTAACATCATAGGATCTATTTAACAGCAAATCTCTCTCTTTATTGTCTGGCAGGGAGACCCCATCCCCGAAGAGGTATATGAAATGCTGAGTGACAGCTCCGTGCGCTCCATCAGAGACCTCCAGCAGGTCCTGCGGATAGACTCCGTAGGTAAATCTCCTCAGTGCTGAATGTTTCTATTCCTTAAATTTTAGGGAAAAGCAACAGTAAGAGAACAACAAATATATGTGTGTATCATACACAGATTTCACTGTTGGCATGTAATCCAAATAAGTGAATGCTTTGTTCTCTGCATTCAGGGAAGGCAATATAAGGGCATATGCTGTGTGTGGGTTGCTGAAATCATGCCATCTCACCATCAGCTCACTCATAAAGCAGGTGTGAGGCATCCAGGATTGTCAGGTAGACTGTCAGATTCCTGTATTGGATCTATACCAGAAGCACCCCAGAGCAAAGCTTTCCAAAATGTGTGTTGTGACACCTTAGTGTGTCAGCTGCAGTGTGTACGTGTGTTGCACAAACGTAACAAGGAACCTCTACGTCTATGTGCAATATCCAATAAATCATATATTTTTAAATATATAAATGAAAAGGTTTGCATGAGATAAGTTGTGTTCCCATATAATTTCATTATAACAATTTATGTATGTGTCTGCATCCCTTATATGGAGTTGGCGTAACTTCTGGTTTGTTGGTAAAACTGAATTAATGTGTTGTGGAATGATGCGTATCTCAAGTGTGTGTCACCAACATGAAATCTTTGGAAAGCACTGATATAGAAGGTCACCTAAGGAATGATTGCTCTAGATTTAGGGAAGTCATGCTACACCTCTATTCTGCTCTTGTCAGACCACGCCTGGAATACTGTGGCCAGTTCTAGGTACTGAAATTGAAGGGAGATGTTGACAAGCTGGAATATGTCCAGAGGAGGGCGATTAAAATGATCAAGAGTCTGGGAAACAAGCCCTATGAGGAGCAGCTTCAAGAGCTGGGCATGTTTAGCCTTCAGAAGAGAAGGCTGAGAGGAGACATGATGGCCATGTATAAATATGTGAGGGGATGTCATAGGGAGGAGGGAGCAAGTTTGTTTTCTGCTACCCTGGAAACTAGGATGCAGAACAATGGCTTCAAAAGGAAAAAGAGATTCCACCCAAACATTAGGAAGAACTTCCTGATTGTGAGAGCTGTTCAGCAGTGGAACTCTCTGCCCCAGAATATGGTGGAGGTTCCTTCTTTGGAGGCTTTTCAGCAGAGGCTGGATGGCCATCTGTCAGGAGTGCTTTGAAGGCGATTATCCTGCTTCTTGGCAGAGGGTTGGACAAATGATCCATGAGGTCTCTTCCAACGCTATGATTCTATGAAAAGCCAACTCTACCATAGAGTGAGAAAACAACTACTTCAGCAAGAAATTTTGGCAAATGGTTATTGAATTTGTTATTACTTACTAGTACTTTTCTACTAGAGCTAGGGTGAGGTGCTTGTTGGAATTTTTTTTGCCTGATATGCCACAATGAACATGCTATACATTTAATCTGGTAGGTGAAAGAAGAGCACCATTTGCTGTTGGCCTCAGATGACAAAATATCTTGAGCTAGCCTTCTTGATCATGGATGATAGAAATAACAGAATGGATCAACATGAAAGATTGTTGTTGTTTATTCATTCAGTTGCTTCCAACTCTTCATAACCTCATGGACTGGCCCAAATGGGAGCTCCTTGTTGGCCGTGGCCACCCCCAGCTCCTTCAAAGTCAAGCCTGTCACTTCACACATGAAAGATATCACATGCCATACTTTTTGTGTGGGGTGAACAATCCAGACTATTTTCTGCACCCTGTCAGCTCCCATCTTTTTCAGCAAGAGAATCAAAACACCTACTGAGAGACAGAAATACATTTTTTGGCCTCTTTAAGGAGCCACACATTTGTCTATAGCCACGAAGGATAGAAAAGGTGAGCTGCGTCCCTGATTCCATCCGTGGGAAGTCTTTAAATCGGCGTCTCTCACAAGTTTGTGTTATTTGCAGCATTGTATAAGATTGCTGCAGCTTGAGAGAGCAAGGAGCCAACAGATCTTTGTCTCCACTGCTGGGAGGTAAGACTTAGTAGGAAGAGGGACCAGAAATGGATGTTTCTTCACACCCACTCTCCTCCATTCCTGAGGCCAAAGAAAGGAGAACCTAAAAATGGAGCGAACGCAGAGACGGGGTTTATGCTTTTTTGCCATAGCCTTATGTAGATAGTCAAGACCCTATAATCTATCACCGGCCCCAGCTCCCTACCACTTGTATCAAAAGTGTATGTGACCCTCTTGTATGCATCGTGTTCATACAATGCAACTTCCATTGCATATGACATTGTCCTTTGCAAACCAGAGATTATTACATAGTGTTTTCTTAAAATCATCCAGGTTGGTTGGTTAGTTGGTTGGTTTGCTTGCTCCCAGAGATTGTTTACTATATGAGAATGTTTCGTTGAGCAACTTGAGATCCCAGGGCAGTTGTACACATTCAGGAAAGCCACAGTTCTTAAGTGCTTAAATCTTTCCCTGCCTTTTTTTGGTTTCTGACAGACTTCAGCAGAACAGTGTTAGCTAGGAATTGCCATGAGCAAATCTAGATGAAGAAAATGTTTAATTGGGCAGCAAACGTAATAAATGCACTACTTTTAGAGAGGAACATTTTAAAACATGGCTTGGCATGCAACCTATTGAAATAAGTGGTTTGTTTAATGGTTTTAATTGATTTTACGTTCATAGTTATATGTAGTAATTATTATTATTTGTGTACTGTATGTTGGCATTGAATTTTTACCACTAGTATGTTGTAAATCACCTTGAGTGTCCCCCCCCCCGCCCCCCCGGGATGAGAAAAGTAGTGTATAAATACAGTAAATAAATACATTTGTTTGTAAATGTTGCTGATGACATATTTCTACAGCCCCTTCCATACAGCTGTACAAGATCCACATTGAACTGGATTATATGGCAGTGTGGACTAAGATAATCCAATTCAAAGCAGATATTGTGGATTATCTGCCTTGATATTCTGGGTTATATGGCTGTGTGAAAGGACCCTACATCAGCTTTCCCTAACTGAAAGTCTGCTAGATATGCTGTAATGTGCATCCCCAGCTGGTGTGATTTAGGGCCCTTCCAGAACCATAATAATAATAATAATAATAATAATAATAATAATAATAATAATAATAATAATAATAATATTTCTACTCCTCTACCATCTCCCCGAAGGGACTCAGGGCAGCTAACAGAATACAGTGAAGCACCACATATAGACACTACATAAATCTACAATGATAAAACCATAGAGTTACAATCATGCACATACATAATTACAGTGTAAAGCATTTAAATTCATAAAATGCAGTCATAGCTGCAGAAAAAACAAGTTGTTTCCAAATATAACCCAGAATATTGAAGCAGATAATCCACAATATCTGCTTTGAACTGAGTTCAAACTGCTATATAATCCAATTCAGTGTGGATTTTAGTTAGGGATGGTGGGGAGCAATAGTATAGTGGAGCTGGGGCTTGCGGGGTTGAAGCCTTGGGACATGCTGATGAGCAGTGGCTTTGCACCACAGCAAACATTATTTACCTCCACACAAGGTTCTTTATTCCTCCTTAATTTCTTAGCAATGGAGAAAAAGACCTAAGATGTCAGTTTTTTGCCCTCCCACCTGCATCTGTCAGTGCTGCAAATAAAACCACCTCGTGAAAGTTGCTCACTTATCGTTAGACATTTTTTTTCTTCCATTGAGGATGCAGCTCACCTTGTCTGTTGCTTGCGGCTGTGAAAAAGTACATGACTTTTCTTCTGAATTTTGATGTAATTCCTAGAGGAATTGGAGGGGAGACAGATTTCCCCAGGAAAAAGGGGGAATGCATTTGGACATGGCTTGTTTCCTGGGTGGAGAAAGTGGCTTTATAATAGACCTGCTCTTGATAGAGATGAAAATTGTTATGTACTGCATATTATTGCCTGCATTTATGGAGTGTTGCTATAGGAACTTCTGATGAAGGGATATACTGCAAAATTTACCAGTACACTGCCAGTGAGTAGTATAGTCAAATATATTTAGAAGATATCCAATAGAAGAAAACTGATCTATCGTAATAGCATGTATTCCTTCAGCCAGTTCCATTTTCTCTTCTCTGTATTATCCCTTTCTTTTTGTCTCTTGAATTCTTGGTTTTCAGAGTTTGCTGTGGGCAGAGCCCTCAAATCCTAGGTTTAAAGCAAGTCAGGTCAGCTATAAACTTAGTAAATGGGTCTTAGGCAATCAGCCAGGAGTCCCCGGTGGCGTAATGGGTTAAAGCCTTGTGCCGACAGGACTGCTGACCGAAAGGTTGGTGGTTTGAATCTGTGGAGTGGGGTGAGCTCCCATCTGTCAGCTCATCTTATAGTGCAGGCATGGGCAAACTTTACCCTCCAGGTGTTTTGGACTTCAACTCCCACAATTCCTAACAGCCAGTAGGTTGGTAGGAATTGTGGGAGCTGTAGTCCAAAACACCTGGAGGGCCAAAGTTTGCCCATGCCTGTTATAGAGCTAGTTTAAATCAAAACAAAGTTGTCCCGTGGATTGAACAGGTTGGACAGCTCACTCCCAAATGCCATGATTCATCTTGCAAGAAATTTTGCCACAAAAGGAAGAGGAATAAATTGATTGTAATAGAACAGAAGTGAAAAACATAGGAATAGAAGGCCACAGGGCATTCCTTCTGAAGTCAATGTAATCCCTTCCAGTTAGTTCAGAATTCATAGAATCATAGAGATGGATGAGACCTTGTGGGCTATCCAGTCCAATCCCCTGCCAAGAAGCAGGAAAATCACATTCAGAGCACCCCTAGTCCAGCCTCTGCTTAAAGGCCTCCAAAGAAGGGGCCTCCACCACACTCCAGGGCAGAGAGTTCCACTGCTGAACAGCTCTCACAGTTAGGAAGTTCTTTCTCATGTTCAGGTGGAATCCCCATTCCTGTAGTTTGAAGCCATTGTTCCATTGTGTCCTAGTCTCCAGGGCATCAGAAAATAAACTTGCTCTCTCCTCCCTATGACTTCCCCTTACATATTTATACATGGCCATCATGTGTCTTCTCAGTCTTCTCTTCTGCAGGGTAAACATGCTCAGCTCTTTAAGCTGCTCCTCATAGGGCTTGTTCTCCAGACCTTTGATAATTTTAGCCACCCTCCTCTGGACACATTTCAGTTTCTCAACATCTCCCTTCAATAGTGGTGCCCAGAATTGGACACAGTGTGATTCCAGGTGTGGTCTGACCAAGGCAGAATTAGGTTTGTACATTCTCTCTACCCTCGAAAACCCCAAAGTAGGCTTTCCTTAGGGCTGCTACAAGTTGGAAACAACTTGAAGGTGCACAACCGCAACAACAAAACCATTTCCCTTCTCCAGAATTATTGTTAGTGCTTGCAACATTGTTTTAAAGATAAGGGCAAGGCTTTTCAGGAGTCTGGGAATCTCATCAGATTCCGTACTAGACTTGTATGATTCATTGCGCAGCTGCTTCTGTTAATTTTTAGACTCCTGATCCTTCTCTCCTGTGGAAAAGGAAGAAATGAGCAACAGGCAAGGGTGAGAAGGGCAGATGGATGGCTTTATCACAGCCTCTGGAAAATGGATTTCGCTTTGGCTGTGTGGCCAAGCTCTGGGGATACCTGCCACAGGACTGAGGTCACACACCACAACGGCGGCAGTTGCATTGAGGCCGCAGTGGTGGCACGTGCAGGAATGCGAGCACGCGTCACAGCCACCAGGCTGGCCCTGGAATGTATTATTTATAATTGCTTTCTTCGTAAATTCCATTCTGTTTCAACTTCTGCTCCCGCCTGTCCTCTCCCTAGACCGCCCCCCCCCCCTGACTTCGCTCTTGTGTTTGTCTGTTTGTAGCTTTGTAATCTGTGCCGAGACACTATCTACGGGGGAACAGAATTTCCTGCTTTTGTTTCCTATGCCAGTCGGACCACTGGCGTGTTCTCAAAAGCATTCCCCACTGCCTTTCAAAATGCTTGCGAGGGGAGGGGGAAGAGAGGGGAGGGCACCAGCTGTGTACAGCTATTGTTTCCTTCAGAGAAAACCACTAGGACTTCTCTCCCCCCACCAAAAAAAAATTCCCTATCCCCGGCCGTCACCACCACCATCCCTTGGATTGCACAGTCTATATACAATGGCGTGGTTTCCAAAATTAGCAGCGCTGGCTTTTCCAAGGCCGGGTTTGCCAACCCCATCCTGCCCTGTCAAGGACACCCTTGGGGAAAAGAGGGCGGGTTGGGTGAGGCTTAGTGGAGAACTGTTTTTCAGTAGAAGATTGCTTTCAAGTCAACATCAATGCTGTTTTCCCCCTTGTCTGTTTAGCCCTTGTGCAAAAGAACTCTCTCCCAAGACTGATAACATTCCAGAGAATGGGGGATGCGAGGTGGGTTGGGAAGAACTGGTTTGGCCTTATGGCATAAATAGCTGATACCAACTTTGTTCCCTGTAGCTAATCTTTTCTCATTCCCTTGGGATACAGGGATGCTTTAGAGCAATAAATCTGGGAACAGGCACCTTTCAAAATAGTTTCAGACCATATGCTGAAGATTAAATCTGAAGCTTTTGAGAGTCATGCAGTATCTATTGGAGCTCCTTCTCCCAAATAACCACTGTGGCATTCTAAACAACGATAAACCACACCTGGAATACTGTGTCCAGTTCTGGGCACCGCAATTGAAGGGAGATGTTGACAGGCTGGAATGTGTCTAGAGGAGGGCGACTAAAATGATCAAGGGTCTGGAGAACAAGCCCTGTGAGGAGCAGCTTAAAGAGCTGGGCATGTTTAGCCTTCAGAAGAGAAGGCTGAGAGGAGACATCATGAGGGCCATGTATAATTTTGTGAGGGGAAGTCATAGGGAGGAAAGATCAAGCTTGTTTTCTGCTGCCCTGGAGACTAGGACTAGGAACAATGACTTCAAACTACAGAACAGGAAAGGAGATTCCACCTGAACATGAGGAAGATCTTCCTAACTGTGAGATCTGTTCAGCAGTGGAACTCTCTGCCCCAGAGTGTGGTGGAGCTCCATCTTTGAAGGATTTTAAACAGAGACTGGCTGGTCATCTGTTGGGAGTACTTTAAATGTGATTATCCTACTTCTTGGCAGGGGATGACCCACGAGGTCTCTTCCACCTCAAGGATTCTATGATTCTATAATTCTGTGATAGCCCTTGGATGCCGTTTTAACAACCATGGCTCCATTGCATGAAATAGTTGGATTGTGGTTCCCTAAACAATGAATCCAAACAGTCTGTAGGATGCAAGCATGACAATTAAAGCTATATTAGACTGCTATACTGTTCAGTGTGAAGGGAGCCCATGTATTTAGGGTATGTTCACAATTCTCAATTATAACAGTTCAATACTATTGCAAGTTCCATGATTTCATCTAGGATTGGTAGTTTTGTGAAGCCCTTAATAAGACCAATAGTTCCCAACCTTTTTTTGAACAGGGGCCACTCTCCAACATTAGTACCAAAAGGTCTACAAATCAGTTTTTGTCAACTTTAGATTTGGTTTGGTTATTTGGGGTGCTGATTCAGAAAACTGCATTGGAATGACCACATTAGATCTAGTTTCTGATAGAGAACATATGCCATCCAGTAGTCGCCATCTGCTTGCCCACAGAAAACTGTATTTAATAATCTAGAGCTAATGAGATCTATCAAATGCAATTTTCTGAATCAGTAGCCCAAATAACCCCAGGAACAAGCCTAAAAATGAAAACACCAAGGTGCCCCCACTTCCAGGTGCCACATGGAATAACTTTCCTCGGAGGAGGAGAAGCAGCAGTCAGGAGGCTTGTTGTCATGCCTTTTGTGGGTAGTTAGCCTCTCCCTTCCCAACATTGCCTCAGCACTATAAGAGGGTTTTCGTTGCAATGGTGTAGTAACAGTTTGGCCATGGACCATATTTGAGTTCTTGGGGACCACTAGTGGTCCATGGACCACAGTTTGGGAACCATTGAATTAGATCATTAGAGCTTTCTGGGACGGAATTCAAGAAACCTCACAGAACTACAGATTCCAGGATGGAGCCATAATAGTTGTTAAAGTATTATAACTGTGCAGTGTGGATACATCAGTAATATTCTGCGTATGCTCCCACTACATCCCAAATAATGAAAATGTCAGTGTCTGTCCTGAATTCAATAAAGAAAATGCATGGCTGCCATTCCTTTACACTGAAAAACTTAGTCTTGTGGTACATTGTACTAAGCTTGTCTCCATTCTCTCTCTTCCTTGGGCTTTCAATTCTCTGTGCTTGACAATCCAGATTAGTACCCCAATACTGATTTTATGTCTTTCTCATTGTAAGTCAAGAAGTTCAGAGAAGGAAAGACCAGCCACTGTGCAGAAACTATCTCCAAATGTTGCCATTGTCCTTAAGACTCTAGAGGGGCTCTTAGCTCCAGGGAGGTGTGGTGGGAATTGCTCTATTCAGCATTTCCTTTGGGAAAATATAGGGCGTGTTTGTAGGCACTGGACCGAAAGCTTTTGCAAACTATCCTCAGTGCTAAAAATATAACATTTCATATTATGATTTGGGAAGGGAGTGATGTGCTTGGTATGAAAAAGATCCAGACCTTAGCAATTCAGGTTGCAGTTGCTATAAAGTAGTGCTACTAAAGCAATGGTGGTCCTAGATTGGTGCCATTGGCTGTTGCTCTCAAACATGGTACTGGAAAAAATTATTGCCAGTCTCTTTCTCCTCCAATGCTAATATCTCCAGATTTTGGAGGTCTTCTACCAATCAAAGTCAATAGTAGTGGGCTACACAGATAAACAGACAAAAGTATAAAGGAACTTCTTAAGTCACTTAAATTTTTGTCCTTAGGACTCCAGGATTATGCTTGTCTTCTAGACAATAAAAAAACTCCCACAAAATAGACCTGTCAGCTAACAAGGCAAAAATCGATATCATAGATGAGCATTAAACACACTATAAATCTCATCACAAAGGGCTAAAATTGACAGCATGTGCTGGTTTAGCCCAGCGCCGGTCCCCCCACACCCCCTGACAATGCAAGATGACGTGATATGACTCCAGCCATGTGACAAGGTTGCCAATCATAGTGTTGAAGTCAAGTAGACAGACAGAAAAAAATATCTTGTCTTCAAAAGACAGCAGGTTCTTGTAAGCCTTCCTTAGCAAGAAGATTTGGAAGCTCTCAACATGTAAAGCAAGACACAATGAGTCTTCATTTAAGAAATGTTACTCCATAGATAGTGTTCCTATCTTTCAGAGTCTCTGCTCTGGTCCTTAAGGCAAGGAGGACAGTATGTTTGCATATACATATATTCTTTGTGAGCCTTGGTTTTTTTAATGTCATACTCTGAGCAGCTGGGTTTGATGCTTAATATATTATCCCTAAAGACATCACCAGAAACCAATGCCTGTAACATCACTAGATTTTGGCTCCAAAACCTCATGTCAGGGATGCTAATCTGACAACCCTGTCCATAGCATACATTTCTTCCTAAAGCTTTCTGCTCTCTCCTTGGGCTCTCTTCCGCCCTATAGTTTTTCTCAAGAACTTCAGCTTAGCTTAGTTTTTGTTTTGGTATGGGCTGTGCAAGGATAATGCCATGTCAGTCTATCAAACTGCACCTTTCCCACTGCCTGTGCGGCAGCCTTTTCCAACATTGTGCTGTCCAGTCATGCTGGACTACAGTCCTCATGACCATTTGTTGTGCTTGGTGATCAAGATATGAGTTATAGTCCAGCATGTTTGTCAGACTGGTTGGTAATCTCCCAAAGTCAAATGCACTATGCTATGTGTCTTTAGATTGATATACTGTTAACCCTGTTGTCTTCTTGGCATAATTAATGGAGTCATGTTTTGCATAAACTAGTGAACCCGTTCCTTTTCTATCTCTGTGAATTTCAACATGCTTGATCTTAAAGAATTACATGTGCACAGCACTGTTTAATTCCCATGTTGTTTCTGTTTTCTCTTAAAGAACCAGATAGCCCTAGTTCCTACCTGAACGCCACTAGATTACATCCTGGTCCTTTGTCTCGAGGGAAACGCAGTCCAGGTGAGTTGCAGATATGGCTTACTTAATTGATGGGTGAAACTTCAGACACAGGACTGGCCCTGTGTAACCTTGAAAATAGTTTTGGGAACACTTCCACTTCTAGAATCCCCCAGTGAGCAATTTTGGTCCTACAGGAGCAGTAAACAGTACTGGCACATCAAAGGCAGTATGGTATCATTATTGACTGTGTTTCATATCAACCAGGAACGTATGTATTTCACTCACTTCTCAAACATAAAGCTCCTTGGATAATCCTGCGCCAGTCACTACATTCCTGCTTAAAACTAAAATACAGCAAAGTTTCAAAGCTCTCTAGTTGTGGATTTCAGTTTTTGTCATGTCTCTTAGGTAGATACTATTCTGTAGTAAGTTTTTTAAAAAAATCTTATTTTTGCAATCTGAAGATATAATTTCTGGAATTGGAATGAGTGATCCACTATTAACTTAATTTTCTTTAATGTTAGGACCATTCAAAAATTAAATATCAGCACAGAGATACAAATATCAGGTTTCAGAGGATGGCAGAACTGTGTTCAGAGAAATAGCTCCACCTCTTCACTACTAGAAAATTCACCAAGGTTTCCTCCAGCTTCTAGAGTTTGAATATTTGGAAATGTTTGAAAATGCTTTGCCATAAATCCAGGGATTAGAAATCAGATTGGAAAGAGATATCTAAGTGGCAATTGTACCTCTCACATGAAAATATACATGCTTAGGTCATAGAGTATTTACATTCTGAAGATTCAAATGCAGATGAGACAGGCAGTAAAACTGTGGGTCCCCAGATGTTTTGGCCTTCAGCTCCCAGAAATCCTAACAGCTGGTAATATGGCTGGGATTTCTGTGTGTTGTAGGCCAAAACACCTAGGGATCCATAGGTTGAGAACCGCTGGCCTAGAATCTCATGAATGGAACAGAGGAGGCATGTTTCTCAAGGCTATGTCTAGAGGACTTGAGTTACAAAGTTGATTTGACCACAATGTGTCTTTCTTGACTAATTCTAGGTGGAGAAGAACCAGTAGAACCAGCAGTACTTGCTGAATGTAAGACACGAGTAGAAGTGTTTGAAATCACCCGGGGCATGGTGGATCCCACTAATGCCAACTTCCTTGTGTGGCCACCATGTGTGGAAGTGCAGCGGTGCACAGGCTGCTGTAATACCCGAAGCATGCAGTGTCGCCCCACGCAGGTTCGTGTGCGACATGTGCAGGTAAGCAAAGACCTCTGTTTGTATCACTACCATAAGTTAATATTTCTTCCATTTTAATTTTTAAAGGATTCAATCTACAAGATTCAATAGAATGCAATGTGTAGGTGTAACAGCTTCTGGAAATCTAAACAAAATAGGCTCCTCCAACTCAATGTCGTCGCTACTCTCTGTCACCATTCTGGTTCGATCTCTGCTGCAAGTAAAATCCAGAAACCTATAGCATTCCAACACTGATGATTAAATTATGGGGGATTGGGTGGGTGGGTGGGTGGGGGATGCTGTATTATTGTTTTGGACAGAATTATCACTCAGTGGGAATCAGCCATCTGAAAATGTTTCTTTCCAGGAACAGTGACAGAGAGAGAAGTACAGTGAATCTTTGACCCCATTTTGCAATCACAATAAGATAAATCTCTAAGGCAAGTCTGCACAAGCTGTGGGCCTTCAGGTGTTTTGTACCAGCTCTTAGAATTCCTTTCCATTGGACAAGCTGACTAGGATTTCTGGGAGTTGGAGTCCCAAAGACCTGGAGGTCCACAGGTTGTGCAGGCTTACACTATGAATCTGGCTTATGAATGACTCCCTATGAAAGTAGGAGCCCCAGACAGACTATGGACCTTCGTTTTATTTGTTTGGACATATGAACCCGGTGGTGCAACAGGTTATACTGCAGAGCTGATGAACTTGCTGACTGAAAGATTGGCGGTTCAAATCTGGGAGCAGGGTGAGCTCCCGCTTTAGGTTCAGCTTCTGCCAACCTAACAGTTAAAAATGCAAATATGAGTAGATCAATAGGTACTGCTTCTGCAGGAAGGTAACAGCACTCCATGCAGTCATGCCGGACACCAACTCTTCGGCTTAGAAATGGAGATGAGCACCGCCCCCCAGAGTTGGACTAGGCTTAATATCAGAGGAAACTTTTACCTATGAACCTGGCAAGAGCCAGCACTCTGGCTTGTTAGGGGAAAGCAAAAGGCAGAGTACAGAGTCCTGTTGGATTCAGACATCATGATAAGCAAATAAGTGTTAAAAATCCATAGTTGCAGTAGAAGTAAACTACGCAGCATGCCAGGACATTCACAATTATTTAGAATTCTGCTTTGTTATGTCTCCGTGCATGGAGGCAAATCAGCAGTCTAATGGCTCATCTAAATATTCTGACCTCTGCTTCTTTGCCACTCCAATGCACTTTGTTCTCCTAGCCTAAGCCAGCAGCTCCTCCACATTATCCTGTCTGAATGTGTTGTAAGCGGATACCTGCCCCCTGACCTCACATTCTGATCCTACTAAATATCTAGCCAATAGTGATCTCTGTGCTTCCTCCCAGTCAAATGGTTTAAAACTATCATGTAAATCCTTTGCCTGACCTGTATTCATGGCAAGGAGACAAAGGGGAGGGAAGACGTTACGCCATGACTATGTGGGGAAATTCCTTTCTCTAAAAAGCCATACTAAATAGGAGGGAATGGAGGGTTGGTGGCAATAGAAGCAATTGTTTTTCTGGAAAAAGAGCAAACAAGGAGTCAAAGGTTAATCAGAAAATGTGACCTGGAAATGTTTCTTCTGAAAATAGAGACGTCTGTCTTGTTTGGTTGGAAAGGTTTGTCTAGCAAGCAGCATGTGTCCCGGACTGTGCAAAATGGGGACATGCTTTCAAAGAAAGATAAACAGACAAAAGAAGATTTGGATGTTATTCAGTTGCTGAGTGGAATGGAATCACACGGTCTAATGACAAGTCGTGTAATAGAGTTACTATCTCTCCCAAAGGGGAGCCATACTAATTTTCTAACATATTATCATAAGGCACACACTTAACCTTCTTCATCATCTCTGACTATTGTTTGTCTAAGAAAAACATATGAAAAATGCACGAGGTTGCCATAAATCTGCAGACTGTTGGAGCATATAAAAATCAGTTGGTGAGTGTGTTAATTGGAAATTGGAAATGCAAAGCACGAAGCTGGTTGGTTGGGCTATGCCTGAGAGACTAGCTGAACCTGGGAGTTTTGGCAAAAGTTACATATTTAGGTTGTTAGCTGTGTATGAGCTTACAGAGGCAAGGATTTTGCTTCTGGGCTGCTGAAATAAGGTCTTCCAGATGGACACCTAAAGACCTTTTGAATTTCTCTCAAAGGACATTGTGTGAGTCAATGCAAGTGTTTACATGACTGTATATGTGTTGCTCTGCATTTTAAAGAGTAAGCTTCTTGTTCTTCATTGATCAACTGCATGGCATATCATTTATCTAGCAAGACAGTGTGTGGACTGGTACAAACATGATCTGCGTGTGATTTTTATTTCGCCACACAGACTATGTGAAGGCATATGTTCTGATCTGCAGCATCCTTCTGTACATCCAAACAGAATTGCATTCCAAAAGAATACTGTTAAATTAATCTGATTTTACATCTAAAAGATTCCTGTAGCACCTTTGAGATTAAAAGAGAAAAATAAATCTAGCATAAGCTTCCAGGGAGTCGGCCTATTACTTCAGCTGCAATTGGATCTGATGAAGTGGATTTTATCAACAAAAGCTTATGCTGGAAATCTCATTTTCTCCATTAGTCCCAAATGTGCTATTGGATTCCTTCACATTATAGCAAGGTGAGGACAGTGTGTGTCAACTTTATTGGTAGATAGATATTAGTCCCTTGTAGAAAAAAATGGGCTCAGTGGCCTCTTGGTCTCTTTGAGCTCTACAGTACAACTTACACACAATATAGGATCACACATCTTCCAACATTTCAGAGAAAAACAGGGACACATGTGGCCAAACAACATCAGAATGTGATTAAGTTGGAAAACATTATTAATGAGGAAAAATACACAAGTTGGGAGAGGCTGCAACAGTCTGCTTTTGCCTGGATCTACTGGGAAGGGCAAGACTCCTCCCCTGCCTCTTCCCTCCTTAATACAAAGTTTGCAGCAATTGCAGTAGATTGAGGACAAAAGGGGAAAGTGGGAGGAGGTGAAAGTAAATGGGATACTTCAAATGCAGCTGAGTGAATGGGATGACAGAACATTAATTATGACTGCCTCCGCTAAATCAGGATAGTTGGTGATACAGGCTCGGCAAAGATGATGAACTGTGCCTAGGATCACAAGTGGTAGTCTTTATGATTCCTGGATCATTGGAACAATGTAGTAAAATGATTCAGGCGGCCAAGTGAATGAATGTGATCATTATGATGAACAGAGGTCTTTTGACATTGCAAAGGACTTTACAGTTGTATAGAAGTACAGAACTCCACGGATGCTGATTGAGGGAAGGTTGATTTGACATACTGACTCCTAATGGATTTGTGCTTTTTTTTTCATCTCTTCTGATGACAGGTACAAAAGATTGAAATTGTCCTAAGGAAGCCAGTTTTCAATAAAGCCATTGTGGCCTTGGAAGACCATCTGCAATGCCGATGTCAGCCAGTTTCATCCCGACCTCCAAGACAGCCAAATTCACCAGGAATTAAAGGTATTATAGAAATCATGTTTCCAAAATTTTGGCAGAGCTTGGAAAAGTTACTCCATTGGAATGTAGCCATGCTGGCTGGGGGATGCTGAGAGCTGTCGTCCAAAAAGACCTTTCCCAAGCTCTGCATGTGGATGTCAATGCAGGGAAAATGGAACTTTTCTGAGAAGAGATTCTCCTTTGCAGTCAGCTGCATACCATCATGTGCTGTGCTTCTTCCTTTCTAGCAGGTGGTCCACTACCAAGCACTGTAACTTCTATTCCAACAAAGGCACGAAAGAGGAAGCATCGGAAGTTCAAGCAATTACATGATAAGAAGGCGCTGAAAGAAATCTACCCAGCATAGAAGCGCTGGCAGGCAAAAGTGCAAATGTCAGGTAACTGCAACCGATAAAGTAGTACTGCAAATATGCAACAGCCTTTCCACACACAAAATGTTATTTCTTCTTCTTCTACATGATCTTCTAATGCTGCTGAGGCCTTGCTTTTCTGCAATCAATCTGAAATAGAATTAAGATGATTCCATACAGCGATTACTATAATGCTCTGTTATTAAGTAAATGCCCATTTTCATGGTGAAAATCATTACACCATGTTTTCTCCTCGATGTGTAACATTCAGCACATGTCCCCTTCAAATATGATTTTGAAATATAGTTGGATTTTGATCTTTGCAGCATTCATAGAATACATAGAATCTATTAGTCCTTGCTTCCATTTCAATATGGTTACAGCAATAATGATGAATTGCTCTTTGATTTATCTGTTTATAAATGGGAATATAATTACTGGCTTCTTTTCGTTGTTTAATTTTCTTTTTGCATTAAGGAAATCATAGGAGGAAGGATAATTAAAGAAAATTAACTGATAAATCCTTCCCCAAATCTGTCCTATTGAAAAGGAAGCAATATCTCCTGAACTCCAACCCCTTGCCATCTTCCCTAAGTCAAAGGAAGGCACCAAACTTATATTTTCTTGGGGTTCAACTGCCTCCCTTATGTTTTGGTTTGTGTTTTCAACATCATAACACTCTTCCTGTTAATTTTTCCTATATCACTTGAACTCCAACACCCAGGTGTCTTCCCTAAGTCAGGAGAAATACATCAAAGCTATATTTTCTTGTGGTTCAACGGCCTCCCTTCTGTTTTAGGTTGTGTTTTTTTCAACATCATAACACTCATCCTGTTAATATTTCCTAAATCTCCTGACCCCAACCCCTTGCTGCCTTCCCTAAGTCAGGGGAAAGGCACCAAAGTTATATTTTCTTAGGGTTCAATTGCCTCCCTTCTGTTTTGGGTTGTGTTTTTTCAACATCATAACACTCTCCCTGTTAATATTTCCTAAATCTCCTGACCCAACCCACTGCTGCCTTCCCAAAGTCAGGAGAAAGGCACCAAAGTTAATTTTTCTTGGGGTTCAATTGCCTCCCTTCTGTTTTGGGTCGTGTTTTTTCAACATTATAACATTCTTCCTGGACAAGAAAAGCAGTTTTCGAGAAGTTGAATGGTGTATCAACAAGCTTGAAATTTATTACCAAAGGGACAGATAGAAGGCATGATGTAGCATGCGAAGGCCTGAGAAGGGTGGTGACTTCTATGTGAATGAGGTGGCAAATCAACCCCATGTTATAGTGAAGACTTTGGTATTCCTATCCAAAGTATTAAAACCTGCATACCTGTGGCACTCCAGGTGTTTGGGACTCCAACTCCCAGAAGTCCTTGCCAGCTTATCCAGTGTGGTCAGACATTCTGGGAGCTGAAGCTCAAAAAACCTGGAGGACTACAAGTTGTGCAGGCCTAATGTACACCAATAGCTCTTTACACTTTTGGGTAAAAGGTAGAGTTGATTCCACTGGCATAGAAGGCATCAGACAACACTGGGATAGATATGTCACCCACATCATATCAGACTCATTTGAACATCACGCACATGGTCTGATTCTACATCATGGCCTTCTTTACTTCATTGGTTTTAGTCAAGTGCACTATGTGTTCATCAATGTGTTCATCCCATAGGTACACTTTGTCCTGACTGCAGGTGCCCATTGAGTTTTGAGAAAGATAGCCTCTTCCACTCCCTTTAGTTTAGAGTCGTTAAATTTAAAAGCACTGTTCAAAGGAAATCACATAGGAATAAAATTTCATTTATATTAGAAAGCCAAAGAATAAGAGGAAGAGACAAGGAGTAAACATTTCCCCCACTGGGATTTGTCTGTCAAGGAACACTGTATTACACACTTTTGATTAGACTTAATAGCTCATCACCTGTCCAGGAAGGAAGGCCTCATAGGTGTGAATTAGACATGGGAGATTTAGTTCGGAAGTTACAGATGTCGGAAGTAAATTCGGAAGTTTCACACTTCCGAACACTGTTCTGATGCGCATTAGCGAGTCTGAAGTCCCCTGTAGTTTCAAAGCAACCTGAATCAGTGATTTAAATGCCTCGGAAGTCGATTTGGAAGTATGAAAAAGCCTTTTTGATGAAAGTAAGCTTACTGGGAGGCACAGCCTAAATTGCTTGCCTCCCAGCCAATGAGGGCTTACGTTTTGTAAGGGGGAGGAGTTATCCAAAGTCCTGCAGCCATTGCTGCTTAGAAACCCAAGCACATGGCTGGAAGACTCTTGATCCCAAGCCTTGCCGCCTTCCCTATGTCAGGGGAAAGGCACAAAAGTTTTTTTTCCTTGGGGTTCAACTGCCTCCCTTCTATTTTGGATTGTGTTTTCAAAATCATAACACTCTTTCTGTTAAATGTATTATAAAAGGCTTTCATGGCCAGAATCACTGGGTTGTTGTAGGTTTTTTAACTCTTCCTGTTAATTTTTCCTTTATCTCCTGATCTCCAACACCCAGGTGTTTTTTCTAAATCAGGGGAAAGGCACCAAAGTTATATTTTTTGGGGTTCATTAAAATTATAGAATTGTAGAATCATAGACTTGGAAGAGACCTCATGGGTCATCCAGTCCAACCCCCTGCCAAGAAGCAGGAAAATCTCATTCAGAGCACCCTTGACAGATGGCCATCCAGCCTCTGGTTAAAGGCCTCCAAAGAAAGAGTCTCCACCACACTCCGGGGCAGAGAGTTCCACTGCTGAACAGCTCTCACAGTCAGGAAGGTCTTCCTAATATTCAGGTGCAATCTCCTTTCCTGTGGTTTGAAGCCATTGTTCTACATCCTAGTCTCCAGGGCAGCAGAAAACAAGTTTACACACTCCTCCCTATGACTTCCCCTCACATATTTATAGATGGCTATCATGTCTTCTCTCAGCCTTCTCTTCTGAAGGCTAAACATGCCCAGCTCTTTGAACCGTTTCTCATAGGGCTTGTTCCCCAGATCCTTGATCATTTTAGTCGCTCTCCTCTGGACACATTCCAGCTTGTCAACATCTCCCTTCAATTGTGATGCCCAGAATTGGACACAGTATTCAAGGTGTCATCTGACCAAGGCAGAATAGAGGGGTAGCATGACTTCGCTGGATCTAGACGCTATACTCCTATTGATGCAGACCAAAATCCCATACTTTTTTTTTTTTTGCGGCTGCATGATATTGTTGGCTCATGTTTAACTTGTTGTCCATGAGGTTCAACTGCCTCCTTTATGTTTTGTGTTGTGTTTTCAACATCATAACACTCTCCCTGTTAATATTTCCTAAATCTCCTGACCCCAACCCCCTGCTGCCTCCCTAAGTCAGGGGAAAGGCACCAAAGTTATTTTTTCCCTGGGGGTCAATTGTCTGCTTTTCATATAATTTTGTTTGGGGTTGATACATTTTCAATATGAAGCGTTCTGCGGAAAGTGGCACAGGACGTAAGACCTCTGTATCTTTTTTTGCATGTAGCTCCGAAGGCAGCAAGAAAGGGAGGGGGGAAAGCTACACGCTGCTGAAATGTTTTACCCTGGGTAGTGGAGGCAGTGATTCTGCAAGCACTTCAACAGCAGAAACTCATCCCTTTGGGTCCCACTTTCCATTTTCCATTTCTGTTGCTACTAGCTCAGAGCAATCACAAGAGAGTCATGATGATGATGTATTGGTGGTGGGAGCAGGGAAAACCATAGAAATTCTTTCCCACCCCCTCCACTTCTCCCTCGGCTATCAGCGATTTGGAGGAGGGGCATTCAGAGGAGAGCGAACCAACATCTGCCCCCTGCAGCCCCTGCACCACCTCAACACACAAGTCACCAGGCGCTGGTGTGATGGGAAGGCCCAAGTCGTTCCTCTGGGATCATTTTGATGTTTACTCCCAGATGGCCACACTGGCAGTTTGCAGGCACCGTGGGGGAGCATCAGCAGGGGGAAAGACTTGAGGCATCTGGCTACCTCAGGGTTGAGGATGCACATGAAGAGACATCACCCAGATATCAAGGTGGGGGGAAGAGAAACTGGCAGCACCTGCAGCAGCTGCCAGAGTACTCCTATTTCGATGCCTACTGCCAAAGGTTGGGGGGCACAGACCCAGTCCACGCTAGAAGCTTGGGGCTTGCCCACTGGCAGGATGAGATCAGGGGAAAAGTCGCCCACAGCCAGCAGATCACCCAGTGCATGGAAGAGATTATGGCTCCCGACCAACAGCTCTTCTGTATGGTGGAGAGGGAAGGCTTCTGGTGCTTGATGCCACTCGCATTCCCACGCTACAAGATCTCCAAATGCCACATCTTCTCCCGAAGTGTCATTCTACCCTTATATGAGGACTGCGAAGTACACTTTGTGAAGTTTATGCACAACACCCAAGCAAGCTGCATCCACTTCACCTTGGATATTTGGTCCAGCTTGGGAGGAGGTCATTCCTAATTCTCTCTCACTGCACATTGGTGGGAGAAGGAGGGAAGCCTGGAGTAACGGCATCGCTGGGCCTTGCTAGCAATGGAAGTGATAGACAAGAACCACAAGGCTGATACTATTGCCAATACTTGGAAGACGTGATAAGGGAGTGGATGCAGCACAGGCAGGAGAACATGAAGATGGGGTTCATGGTCACCGAAGCTGAAAAAATAAGATATGGACGGTGGAAAGTGCGGCCTTTACCAACGTTAGCTGGATAATGCACTTACTCCACAACACCATGAAAGATGGCTTTAAGAGCCCCAAAGAACAGAACGCCAACCACATCAGTCACCTAATTGAGCGCTGCCGCAAGATTGCAGGCTACTTCCATTGGAGCAGCAAGGCAGCCCGACAGCTGCGTGACCCTGGAAGGCCTACCCCAACACAAGCTGCTACAGGACATTTCCACCTGCTGGAACTCCACGTACAAGATGCTGGAATGCATGGTGAAGCAGCAGAGGGCTGTCCACATCATCTCCCTGAGAGTGACTGCGCCGGCAACCAAGCTGGTCCCAAACAAGCAGGAGTGGGACACCATCTCCCAGCTGGTCGACATTCT